GATTTGAGTTAAATGCACAATGATTTGAGTTAAATGCACAATGACTTGAGTTAAATATACAATGGTTCAAGTTCATTACACAATACTACTTATACAGTATTATACAATAATATTGTTCCAGCTTACATGCAAATTTGATTTAAGAACAAATCTTGGGAAAGAACTTGTTCTTAAACTGGGGACTACCTGTATTTTTTCCATAGTTCCAGATACAGAGTCCCATTATTCCTGTGAATCAGTGCAGCATCTTTGTGCTGTGTTCAGCATTTTCCACTGTGTTTTTTAGCTTACTAAAAGGTCCTAATTTTTGTTAGACCTAATGCTTGTTTGCCTTTCCTTTCATGTGAGGTGTTCCTCATCTCCGATAATTTTAACGGATTCTTGTTTACTTAGAACTTATTAAAACATTAAACACAGGACCAATGTTCTATACATATAATAGTGTAATTGAATGGACTATATAAAAAGTATATGATCTAGCATGATTGATTGATTGATTGATTGATTGATTGATTGATTATGTGCTATCAAGTCATTTTCAACTCCTAGTGACCACTTAGATAGATTTTCTCCATGACAATCTATCCCCAACCTGTTCTTTCAGGTCTTTCAACAGTGCATGCATCACCACTATAACTGAGTCCATCTATCTTGCTGCTGGTTGTCCTCTTCTTCTCTTTCCTTCCACCTTTCCCAGCATTGGAGCCTTCTCCAGACAGCTAGGTCTTCACATAATGTGTAGGATAATTTGAGCCTGGTCATTTCTGCCTCAGGTAAGAACTCTGGGTTGATTTGTTCAATGATCCATTGGTTTGTTTTCTTGGCTGTCCACAGAATTCTCAGGAGACTTCTCCAACACCAAAGGTGAAAACTATCAATTCTATCCTGCTTCTTCAAAATCCAACTTTCACTTCTGTGGAGTGTCACAGGGAATCCATGGCTTGCACAATTCTGATTTTTATAGGTATAGAGACATCACAGCATTTGAATATCTTTTCCAAGACCTTCATGGCTACTGTACTGAGTGCTAATCTATGGCATATTTTTGGACTGCTTCTTCCTTTACTGTTGATGGTTAATCCTAAAAGGCAGAAGCTATCTATCACTTTGATATCAACACTGTCAGTTCTAAGGCTGGTTGTTGTACCTGTTGTCATTACTTTGGTCTTCTTTATATTTAATTTTAGTCCCATTTTTTTCTCTGTGCTCCTTGATTTTTATTACTAGAGCTTGCAGATTCTTTGCATTTTTGGCTAAGAGTAGCGTCATCAGCATAGCACAGGTTAATGATGTTTCTTCCTCCAGCCTTAAAACCGTGCTCATCTTCTTCCAATCCAGGTTCCCTTCATCTATATTCAGCATATAGGTTGAATGAATAAGCAGAGAGTATACAGCCTTGTCTCACTCCTTTGCCAACCTGGACCCAGTCTGTTTTGCCATGTTCTGTTGCTACTGTGGCTTCCTGACCTGTATATAAGTTTCTCATGAGGACAATGAAATGTTTTAAGATCTAGCATTATTAGATCATGTTTTATTATTAAGAGGCAGTCCTGGTGGTAGCTGTTAAGTAGCAAGCCATGTTTGTTATAACTGTATGTTTTAACTGTCACATTTTTTTGACTGTAAGGTACTTAGATTCCATATCAAGGAGAGCAGGAGGAATTCATCTAACACTTTCAAGATTTTTTTCCTCTAAAAAATGAGTAACTATCTTCTCTGAAGTCTTAGCAACAATTATAATATTATTTTATACCATCTGTAATTTGTAGAGTTTTAGTACAGAAGTCAGCTGATACAGAATTATAATAATTCAGTCTCTCACACACAAAAAGTTCAAATAATCATTTCAGAAACTAGAGAGAAGCATGACAACCTGTCATTCACCCATGAATTATTGTTTTCTCCTTAACGTTTGCTGGCAATGTTTACCTGTCACTCTGATGGAAGATGGTACCATGACACTTACTAATCCTAGAATGAAATCTGTTCTGAAGCAAAGGCACTGTAGGTTTTGAAGGGGGCTGGGCAAGGGCTGACTTGACTTCCCCTAGCTGTCCCTGCTGACCCCTTTCTCCATCAGTTTCTAGCTGCCTATGACAGCGACA